ACTCTCACGCGTGCCCATTGGTGGAGGACAGCCCTTTCTCACCATGTGCCCTCTCTGCAGGCAGGTCCTGGAGCTGGCCTGGAAGGAGGAGACGTTCCTGGTGTTGCAGGCACTCCTGGACCGGCAGGGGAGGGCGCTGCCTTGAGAGGGAGGGCTGTGGAGCCCCAGGCAGCTGGCTGTCAGTCTTAGGCAAGCAGGCTGCTGCCTTCCAGCTGCAGGTGGGGACAGACAGCTGACCCCTGGTCCCTCTAGCTCTGTTAATAGCACCTGACTTGGGGCTGGCACTTCCCCTTCTCTCTCACGTGACCCAGGCTGGCCTGGGATCCTCTATGTAATGGAGGGTGACCTTGAACTCCTGGTCTTTCTCCACCTTGCAGGGAGTATAGGTGACCACACTGGGTCAGAGTCATAACTTTAAAAGCTCAATAGGAGGGGCTGGAGAGATGGCTCAGAGGTTAAGAGCACTGGCTGCTCTTCCAGAGGTCCTGAGTTCAATTCCCAGCTCACAATCATCTATAATGAGATCTGGTGCCCTCATCCAGCCTGCAGGCATACATGCAGGCAGAATGTTATATATATAATAAAATTAAAAAAAAAAAAAGGCTCAACAGGAAGGGAATGCCAGTGACCTTCCCAACTCCCCTGCCTGGTGCTTAGCTGTCACTGGTCCAGAGGAAGTGTGGAAATGTACAGCACTCATTCCCTGCTTAGATGGCAGGCCTTTAACTGGCATTCCCTGCTTCTCACTTGTGCTGGAGCTCACCAGCCCTGGGACCCCATTGCCTGCTTTCGTGTGTCCAGCAGGGTTTGCACTCAGGTCTCAGTGCCCGCTAGGCAGGCGCTCTGCTTCAGAGCCATAGTCCTAGCCCTCGGTTTTGGAGACAGGCTGTCATAGAATATATGGTCTTCTTGCCCCAGTCTCCCAAGCACTGGGATTAAAAGCCTGAGCCACACTATAGGGGATTGGCTGTACATTGCTTTTTTTCCTTTCTTTTTTGAGATAGGATCTCTTGTAGCCCAAAGTGGCCTTGAACTCCCAATCCTCCTGCCTCCACCTGGAATTACAGGTGTGCATCACTGTGCCCTATTTTATGTGATGCCAGGGATTGAACCCAGGACTTCATGCATGCCAGGCAGGGGCTCTATCAACAGCCATCCCCAGTCTTCCTGTCCTATAGTAGTATATTTTGACATTTTTCTATATTACTACCTAAAATTCTCCATCCTTGTAGTGTTACTGTTTGTCTTAGGGTGTCTATTGCTGTGAAGAGACACCGTGACCACAGAAACTCTTATAAAGGAAACATCTGATTGGGTGGCTCACAGTCAGAGGCTTAGTCCATTGTCATCATGGTGGGGACATGGCGGCATCAGGCAGACATGGTGCTGGAGAAGGAGCTGCCTACATCTTGCGTAGGCAACAGGAAGTGAACTGAGACACTGGGTGTGGCTTGAGCATATAGGAGACCTCAAAGCCCACCTCTGTAGTGACACACTTCCTCCATCAGGGCCATGTGTACTTCAAAAGCCACACCTCCTAATAGTGCCACTCCCTATGAGCTTATAGGAGCCAGTTACATTCAAACTGCCACACTATTATTTTGAGACAGGGTCTCATGTAATTCAGGCTGGCCTTGAACTCTCTATATAGAAAGATGACCTTAGACTCCTGCCAGTCTTGCCCTGAGTCCTTGGGTTATTGGTGTACACCATTCCTGACTTTTTACATTTTTGCATTTTAGGTAATTGATTACTTTTCTTGCTATGGTTTTGACTCACAGTTTAAGGATACAGCCTGTCTTGGTGGGAGAGGCTTGGGCAGGAGCCTGGGCCTGGGTCCACATTCAGATAGCAAAGACAGGAATCCTGGGTCCATTCTGCTAGGATTAGGATAGGGTCAATCCATGGGATAGTGATGGCTCCTATCTTCAGGGAGGATCTTCAGTGCTGGGAGACACCCTCATAGACACACCACAAGTGTGTTTCCATGGTGATTCTCTTCAGTGCTGGGAGACACCCTCATAGACACACCACAAGTGTGTTTCCATGGTGATTCTCTTCAGTGCTGGGAGACACCCTCATAGACACACCACAAGTGTGTTTCCATGGTGATTCTAAGCCCATCGAGTTGATGGGTGAAGATGGACCATCACAGTGACTAACCCTTGCTGTTTGTGCCCAGTCCTCCTTTGTGAGTGGAGACTGTAGTAGTACTTTCTCATCAGGGCCGCCATCCCACAAATAACAACACAGAGACTTATTATTAATTAAGCAAGCCTGCCTTAGCTTAGGCTTGTTTCCAGCTAGCTCTTATAACTTAAATTAGCCCATATTTTTTTAAATCTGTATTCTTCACGTAGTTCATTTCCTCATTTCCATACTACCCATCCTGCTTCCTCCATGTCTGGGTGTGGACTCCGCCTTTCTTCCTCCCAGAGTTCCCTCTTTGCCCAGAAGTCCCACCCAGCTAGTCCTGACTAGCTATTGGCTGTTTTTTTATTACACCAATCACAACAATACATCTTCACACAGTGTGCAAATATCCCACAAAAGGAGACCACGTGAACTGTGGTGGGATTTCAAGTCGATGCCTGTGAAGTGTGAGTGCCACCTGATGCCAGTGGTCTTTCTGTTCTTTCAAGACAGGGTTTCTCTGTGGCTTTGGAGGCTGTCCTGGAACTCGCTCTTATAGACCAGGCTGGTCTCGAACTCACAGAGATCTACCTGCCTCTGCCTCCTGAGTGCTGGGATTAAAGGCGTGCGCCACCACCACCCAACTTAGTGGTCTTTTTTTTTTTTTTTTTAAAGATTTTATTTATTATGTATATAACATTCTGCCTCCATGTATATCTGCACACCAGATATGAGTGTGCAGATATGAGAAGAGGGCACCAGATCTCATTACAGATGGCTGTGAGCCACCGTGTGGTTGCTGGGAATTGAACTCAGGACCTCTGGAAGAGCATTCAGTGTTCTTAACCTCTGAGCCATCTCTCCAGCCCCCATGGTCATTTCTTATTATGAAGAGTTGGCAGTGCTCCTCAGGACCTCACCATCCTCTGTCATTAAGGTTTAAAACTGAGGCAAGTTAGAGTCACTGGCTCCCCCATAGTACTGATCTGAGCCTTCGCAAGGGCAGCTGCATTTTGTGAGTTGCTATTTCATTTATCGTTTTCACAGTCTCCAGGGACCTTGAGCCTTTTTGTCCAGTTATGGGGACTGGGGCTTAACTTGGTATGTTAGCTTTCCCTTACTATGAGGTAAACAGTAGGAGAAAGGTTGGCCTGGGTTCACAGTTTCCGTCTATGCTTGGCTCCGCTGCTCCTGGGCCTGTATGAGGCACACTATGGTGGAATGAGTGCGTGGTCAGTAGGCTGCTCAAGTCATAGCAGCTGAGAAGCAGAGGGACAACAGGGGTCAGGCTACCACTGTCCCCTTTAGACAAACCCCAGACCTAAAAGCTCTGCCATCTCCCAGCATCTTCACCCTGGGACAAAGCCTTCAACACATGGGTCTGTGGAGGAATTTCTAGACCCATTCGAGAGCACTCTACTCTGTTCAGCTACCTGCTTGGAGATGGAGAGCTTGCTGTTGACCCCAGGGCTGGCCCCATGACTCTGTCCCATGTCCCCATGCATGCAGGTGGAGATGACCTCTGAGGTGTTCAATGTCTTGCTGCAAAGGCTCTGCAAACAGGGGCCGACAGCCACCACCTCCATGGCCTACGCCAAGCTGCTGCTGACAGTGATGACCAAGTACCAGGCCAGTGTGAGTGTCCACAGGGGCTCATTCGTCAGGCCAGCATCTCTGTTGGTCGTGGTATGTGGGGCACTGGGAAATTAGAACAGCATCATGATGTCCTTCCCCCTAGCTGACCCCATCCCTCAGTTGTCATGCTTGTGAGGACCCACGCAGGCATTGGAGACGAGGAGGAGGAGGCAGCTAAGCCTTATTAGGGATTGGGACTTGTAGGTGAATGTGTGGGGCAAGCTGAAGCAGGAGAATTGCTGTAAGTTCAAGGCCAGTCTGCACTGCATAATGAGACAAACACAAAATACAAAACTAAAGATGGGCATAGTGGTGGCGCAGGCCTTTAATCCAGCAGAGGCAGGAGGATCTCTGTGAGTTCGAGTCCAACCTGGTCTACAGAGTTGAGTTCCAGGACAGCTAGGGCTCTGTAGAGACCCTGTGCCCCCCAAAAATAATTTTTAAAAAGTGGGGGAGGTCTGGGATGTTGCTCAGTTGACAGAGTGAGTGCCTGCCCACCATCCACAAAGCCCTGGGGTAGACTGGGCGTGGCAGCACATATAATCTCAGTGCCTGGGAGGCGGCAGTCGGGAGAGCTGAAGTTAAGGCCAGCCCAAACTATGTGAGAGGTTCACTCCCATCCCAAAACATAAAACATAATGGTGGCCAAGGGCTGGAATTGGTAGGAGGATGTTCCTGGCAAGGGATCCTTTGTGAGCCAAGACTGCCCTTCCCAGGGATCTCTGCAAGTAGCTCATTGCAGCCAGAGCTAACAGTGTGAGAGCCAGCCTGGTGGCTGTGTTGTATGCCTGTTTTAATCCCAGCACTCAAGAGGCAGAGGCAGGCGATCTCTGAGTTGGAGGCTAGCCTGAGCTATGTGTGAGACCCTGTGGTGGCTGAGGCAGTGAACTTGCTAGCCTGTGCTATGCATCAGCTCTCAGACACAGCTCCTTCTTGTTGCTTTTGCTTTGAGATGGGGATCTGCTGCCTGGCATGGCTCCCTGGGCTTGTGGTCCTGCCACCTTGGCCTGCTGTTTGCTGGGGCTGTCTTCTGCCACAGTGTCTGTGTAGCAGCTCTATTTTACAGATGAGGGGTAGAGGCTAAGAGATTAGCTAACATTACCTGGGACTGGCAGCATGTCCCAGAGGACCCTGTAGGTCATAAGCCAGAGAGCTTTTTGTTTTGATTTGTTTTTAGACAAGATCTCATGTAGCTCGGGATTTGCTATGATCTGAGTGCTAGGATTATAGGGTACATTACTATGGCCTGGTTTATGTAGTGCTGGGGCTTCCTGCTTGCTGTGCTCTGTAGTTCTAGCTAGCCTGAACCCCCCTATGTAGGCTAGGCTAACCTGAACCCTCTGTGTTGACCAGGCTGGCCTCAAACTCACAGAGACCCTCCTGCCTCTGCCTCCCAAGTAGTGGGATTAAAGGCCTGGGTCCCTATGCTGGACTCAGCCTGCTTTTTTATACAGTCTAAGGCCACCTGGCCAGAGATAGCACTGCCCACAATAGGCTGACCCTACTGTGTTATCTAGAGAAACGCCCCACAGACTCCCTCTTGACCCAGCTGTATCTGGTGACAGTCAAGGTCAGTCATCACACAGGTGCATCTATTGATTCCACAATCCCAGGAAAGTGGGGATCTCAATCTGTGTGTGCTGTGAGGTTTGGGGGTGCTGGTCCTCCAAAAGACTTCCCTAGGTCACAGAAGAAGGGCCCCCCTCAGAGGAATAGGGAGCCTGCAGGGACCTTCAGCTGGGGAGGACTTTTGCCTCTGTCTGCTGAGGTGTGGGGGTTGGAGAGTGGAGATGAGGAGCCTGAATCCCAAGAGAAGACAAAGAAAAAGCATAGTCAGAGGGGTGTGGTGGCCATGGTGGAGTGTCCCGGAACCTCTGTCATCTGAAGCCAGGAAGGGTCGGGAGGGCTATGTGAGACACAGCTGAACCTCCACCTGGCACCAGGGCCTGCTCTGAGCTCTACAGCTGCTAGAATCCAGGTCCTCCTGGTGCTTGCCTCATCCCAAGAAGTAGTAAGTTCTATTGCTCAGGGGCCTGTCCTTGGCTTCCATTCTCCATCCAAGCAGGGCCTGTGGGGTGACGAGGAGTCCTGCCACCGGCTGCTGCAGCCCTAGCTTGACTCCCTCTCCAGATCACAGAGCAGCAGCGCCTGGACCTGGCTGTGGCCCTAGAGCCCAACGCCACCTTCCTGAAGAAGTCCCTGCAGGCAGCGCTGAGACGGCTGGCCCACTGACCACCCACAAAGACATGATTCCCTGACCCTTTGCCTGCGAACACACTAAGCACAGCCAGCTCAAGGGTCATCTGCCTCTTGCCCAGCACTCACTCCTGGCTGTGCAGAGGCCATCTTGACTTCAGAGAGGAGGCCCTAGGCTCCACGCTGGCTGACATTCCTGATCACAGTGGAGGGCGGGTGGAGGACAGTGGTCAATGGGTAGTGTCCCAGGAGAGCTGGGTTCCAGTGTACTGGGGTGACTCCTGTGCTGAGGTGTTCTGAACCTCCTTTTTTTGTTTCTGAACTGAATGATTTTGTAATAGTTTTTAATAAAAAGAAAAAATTCTTCCAAGCATGGTGGCTCACCCCTGTAATCCCAGCCCTCCGGAGGATCAAGGACTCAAGGTCATCTTCACACACTCAGTGTAAGGCTGACCTAAGCTCCCTGAGCAATGTCCGTGGGTGTGGTTGGGAGATGGCTGAATGGGTGAAGAGCTTGCTGAATGCCTTAGTTTTTAAATTTGAATCCCCAGAACCCATGTGCAGCTGGGTGTCTGTCATCCCTGCACACAGGATGGAGGTGAGGGCAGGAGGGTCCCCCCAAAGCTTGGGGGGGCAGCCTAGCCTGAGACAACATGGTTGTCACGTGTAAGGTTGTCCTGTGACCTCATTTGTGCAGTGACGTGTTTGCTTCCCAGAGGCTTAGGCATGCACAACACAAAGTGTGCAAACATACACCTATCAAACACAAATGGTTAAAGACGAACAGAGGCATGCGCACCCTTAGACTCAGTGCCTGCTTTCCCTTTAGCTCTGGACCCCCGAACCCCCTTCACTCCCTCACCCACACCACCCCTGTTCACTGGGAAATTGTTCACTGGAATTGTGAAGTTAGTCTAGGGTCAGTCAGGCCTGTGAGAGCTTCCTGTTGAGTGTCAAGGCCTGCTGCGGCCTGGGTGGCTACGTACTGCTGAGGGGGGGCTTGGGGCTGATACTTTTGTTGTAATGCTGGCATGGAAACCAGAGTCTGGTGCCTGGTTCCACCACTGAGCTACAGGATCTTCAGCCACAGTCAACATTGGAGCTGGGATCTGAAGGATGCCTGGGCTACCGTGGGCTGCGAAGGCGGAAAGGGCAACATGGTGGCTGCCAGGAGCCTGTTTGGCGTCTGTGTTCCCACTGCACCTGTGCAAGTACCTGGCTCACAAAGCGGGGAGCACGCAGCTGGCTCTGGTGGCCCCAGCACCGAGGAGGCCAAGGCAGGCGATGTCCGAGTTTGAGGCTAGTCTGCTGTAAATAGTGAGTTCCGGGGCTACACAGAGAAACCCTGCCTGGAAAAAAACAGCAAAAATTGAGCGCACATGCTGCTGAATTGGAACAGCTCCCTCCAGCGGGGCCCCGCGCTGGGTGGGGAACAGCAGCTCCCTCCGGAGTCCCCGATTCAGGGAGGTGCGAAGTCAGCTTGGGGATCTGAGACCCGGAAGCTGGTGCAGACGCGGGGGCAAGGGGGGCGGCAGG